CACTGTCTTCCATGTAGATCTATGTCATTAGGTAAGACACATATGCAACAGTTAGGTATCTTTATTTCGCGACATTTTGCCTACACAGTAGGCTTCTTCAGTCGAGTACAGAAAAGTTGATAGAAGCAGAAGAATCTTGAAGACGATGTAATCAGTCCATCACCCTTGAAGTTTTGAGGTGGCCAGTCCCTCAGTCTGGAGAAGAGTATTGTTCCATAGTCTGAAACAATATGGAGTTGAAGTGACAGGATTGAGCCTTATATACTGCCAGGAGGAGAGATGTAGGCCACTAGTAGAGGTAAGAATGAAGTCGTTGTGAGGTCAGGTCCCTCTCAAATCCAGCCATTCTCACTAGTAGTAGTAGTCCAAGTTGATTTCAGGTCTGTACCAAGATACCCTTGTGTTGCAGTGTCTGACAGAGTGAACATTAAAATGGTATAAAATGCCGACAGGTTGTTAGGTAAGACATATATGCAACAGTTAGGTATCTTTATTTCGAAACGTTTCGCCTACACAGTAGGCTTCTTCAGTCGAGTACAGAAAAGTTGATAGAAGCAGAAGAGACTTGAAGACGATGTAATCAGTCCATCACCCTTGAAGTTTTGAGGTGGTCAGTCCCTCAGTCTGGAGAAGAATATTGTTCCATAGTCTGAAACAATATGGAATTGAAATGACAGGATGGAGCCTTATATACTGCCTACATCTCACCTCCTGGTAGTATATAAGGCTCAATCCTGTCACTTCAACTGAGGGACTGACCACCTCAAAACTTCAAGGGTGATGAACTGATTATATCGTCTTCAAGGTTCTTCTGCTTCTATCAACTTTTCTGTATTCGACTGAAGAAGCCTACTGTGTAGGCAAAACGTTTCGAAATAAAGATACCTAACTGTTGCATATGTGTCTTACCTAACAGCCTGTCAGTATTTTATACCATTTTAATAGTTCTATGTCACTGATGCTGGTGTTACTTATGCAGATCTATGCTTTAGGTACAGCTCCCTCAAATGTGCTGTGAATGGTAAATTTTGGCCTAACATGAGAGAATGTCTCTGCAATAAGTGTACACAGTATAAAAAAAAATTCCTGCCCCACACACTGTATGATAGGAAAAGCAAACATCTGGTTTAAACAGTGACACTGAGGTGTTATCTAGGGTGGTTTTTAAAAGCTTTATTGGCTGCTTCTTGATATCAGTTAATTGAATGGAAGACATATTAGGGAAATAAATGATGCTGATTGGTTTCAGACTGAAAGGAGCCTGAACTAAGGCTCAAAGTAGCAGAGATAAATGACTTTTTGGCAGTTTTCCTGATGAAGGGGAAGGAGACATCCTGGTGTGTTTTAGTTTTTACTAGGTCACTGGGTCAGCTTAAATCATGACCAATCATTTTTGGTTACATTTATTATCCAAGAAATAGGGTAAAACTTCATTTTTGTGTGATGATGGATTAAAAATTGGAGAGCAAGTGTTTTACAAGAGAGGCCTGAGGATGTGATTAATGAACAGAGCAAAAGTTATCTTAGTGACTGTAATGTCTACAGTATTTATTTTAGACTGTTTAGAATTTTTTTTTTTATTTTGTGCAAAATTGGCCAAATTATCAACTTCTGTACACATTATAGGGCTGTTCTGCAAGTTGAATGGGTAGTTCCTTGTGCTCAATTGATAGAATGAAAGGCATACTACTTCCAGGAGTTGCTACAGTGGTGGCTGTTCCAGCAGTCATTTCTCAAGTGGCTCTTCAAGTAGCTAATCAACATGGAGCAGCATCTTCCATTTATTACTCAAGAAAAGCATAATATTACACATTCTTGTGCTATATATGATACAATATCTACTATAGTTGCTCATAATTCCTTTAACAGCTTAAACTAGGATTCACACATGTACTTTTTCATACATTAAGCCATAATTATTGTAAGTCATGCAGGACATGCTGTATTTTAAAGCATATAAATGCACAACAAAAGTATCGTAGCGGTAAATCAGTAGCCATATTCAAGGGTTAATTACCCTCTTGCTTTATGTTAAAGTGAACCCTAAGCCTACCTTTGACCCTGACCTTGAGTATATAAAGCACAGTCTGATTTTCCAAGACTTTTTGTGGGAAAAAAGGGGTGCCTTATATGCCAGAAAATATGGTAATCAGAATTAAATTCTACATCAAGTGGCAAGTACAGTACGTAGTGCATTATTATTGTTTTTTTTTTTTTGTGGGTTCCCTAAAGTTCTACAAAATGTCTAAGAAAAAATTTTGGTTGTGGCAGATCACCCTTAACCCCAACAAGTCAATAATGAAGAGATTTAACTATTTAAGTAAGTTGTTCATGGAACTCTTACCACAAAAATTGGCAATACAGGTCAGCCATCACAAATTCTGCATCACTGGAACCTACAGTGTGCCGGATTATTGAGTTTGCTGGATTACAGAGTGGTTAGGTTAGAATACACTTAATAAAGTTAACCAACTTCACTTACACAAGAAAGTTCATTGAATATCGGCACAAACTGAATATTTCCACTACTTAGAACTCAATTTCAAGGTATATTTCTTCATGAAAGCAATCAAAATCATATCTATTTCTGTAATGTATCTTCCATTCTATCAAATGAGACCAAAAAAAATGAAAATACAACCATAAAAACCATACGAAAATATACCGCTAAGGGTCACCTAATGGCTGAGATGTAAACTCTGTTATTTATTGTCCGATTCTTTTCATTTTTGGCATACATTAAGAAGCATCTTTCCATCATACATTGCCCAAGTTTCAATAAGACAGCCCAATAAACAACTGAGAAAAAAATGTTTACCAAAAATCATATATGGCAAGCCCATATATGATTTTTAGTAAAACAAGTCACTGACTTTTTTGGGTTATCCTCAGTTCTCTATACATACACGGCTATGTGTGATAATCTATGTAACTGTATTTATGTATACCTGAATAAACTAACTTCTATTGTCGACTGAGTACAAGAAACCACCCGTTCACCTATTTCAACTACCCAATAAAGTGGTCAGAAATTGGCAATTTGGCCAGTTTCACACAAATTTCAAAAGATGCCAATTTCAAAATAGGGTTCAGAATAAACAATGCAGACATTCCTGGCACTAAAATAACATTTTCTCTGTTCATTAGTCATGTCTACAGGGCCCAATTATATTACTCTTGCTTACCATTTGGAATTTTTATTCACACAAAAAACAGAAGATTTACTGTTATGCAGACTACTGTATTATTGCAATAATTGTAAAAATAATGTCAACCCATTCATGACTACGTATTGGAATCTGGACTGGCCAGTTGTACACGTATTGAACGTACTGTTTACTATTGAACATTGCCAAAGAATCGAACATTTCTGCTACTTTGAGCTCAATTTCAAGGTACTTTTCTTTGTGAAAGCAATCAAAATCATATCTATTTCTGTAATATATCTTCCATTCTGTCAAATGAGACCAAAAAAATAAGAACACAACCATAAAAACCATACAAAAATATACTGCTAAAGGGTGGCTAATGGCTGAGAAGTGAACTCCGTTAATTATGGTCCTATTTCTTTCATTTTTGGTGTACGTTAAGAAGCATATCTCCCTCATACACTGCCCAAGTTTTAATAAGATAGCCCAACAAACAAATGAGAAAAAAAAATATTTACCAAAAATCATATATGGCAAGCCCAAGCCAGGCATGTACTAGAAATAAATCACTTTGTCTGACTTTCTTGGGTTATCCTAGGGTCTCTACACATATGCTGCTATGTATGATAATCTATGTAGAGAAAAGAGCTTTTCGTTTCAGTTTTATGGTGCATTATGAGTGTATATCACAGTTAGCCCTGTGCTATACTCAATTTTTTCTAATATAAGCCCCCAAGACAGGGATAAGAGGATGGTACAGTGGTACCTCGGGTTACGAACATAATTCATTCCAGAAGGCTGTTTGAGTGCTGATACCAAATGAATTTGTTCCCATAAGGAATAATGCAGATTAGATTAGTCTGTTTTAGACCCCAAAAAATACACTTAGAAAAGCACTTACAAAAATACACTTACGTACATAATTGTTCGAGTTGGGAGCTGTTCGAAACTCGAGGTACCTCTGTACGTACTTGTATCCCATAGCCTCTTCATACCTCTGTCGAACCGCTTGGTATTATGCCAAATATTATTCATTCTGGAGTTTGTAACATGTTTTTATGTTATTTATATTGTTTATTATGTCATACTAGACCAATTGCAATAAGTAAATACAGTAAGCCATAGTATTGTAAATGAGCTGTAGTGTTGATATTAGCATAATAATAAAGCACATTCTCCTGCATCACAAGACTAAGCTCATGGCAACTGACAGTGGCTTCGAAGCCACCTTATCTTTAATGGACAATGTAGTATGTATGTGCTTTACACAATGAGAAGCATTTCTTTTATTCATTGGAACCATGGCTAGGGCTAAAAGTAGGTTATAACAATAAATGGAGAAAAAGAAATTGGAATGACTTATGCAGCAAGTAGTGCCGCCAAACAGTACCAGCAGGATGGTGTGGCGACCCTGGAAACTTGAAATTATGCTACCCGAAATTAGTGCAGAATAACATGGAATCAGATGTCTGACTGCTGGATTTGTGATGACAGACCTGTATTAGTGTATTTCATGGCAAAATTTATTGCGTAGATCCTCTTTAATGGCACAATATTGCAAAACTAATCTATGTACAACTTGAGCTCAATATATTTAATAGCTTACAATGAGAACATATAATAAATACCAACATACTTAAATGCAGTTTACAAGGAAATACTCTTATTAATATTATTATTATTAGTACTACTATTATCAAAGTTATGTGTTAAACCCGTAAGGGTCATACAGAGTTGCTTTTACTGATTAAAGACAGGAAAGTTACACTTTGTTAAAAGCCATCAACTTCTATATAATCGAAAAAAGGGGAATAAAATGTAAATTAAGCTGGTGTTTCATAAAATACTTACTATACAAAGCTAAAGCTGTTCGACACTGCTTAGGGCACTTTTCACACTGGTACGCAGTCTCTGTCTTGCCAGTTACTTCATTTTTATAAACTCTTCGGAATTTATTCATATTTGGCACGAGAATTGGATCAGCAGATATCATCAAGTGAACTGACTGTACCTAAGAAAATGAGAAATGTGACTAGACCAATTATTCATAGTGAAGCTTGTAACATTTTTTTTGTCTTTCATATGTATCTACAGATGGACCCCGCTTTACAGTGCTTCACTTCACAGCATTCTGCTAATGAAGCGGTTTTCAGTTATATATACCCATTCTTCATTTATTCAGACTTCCTACAATAAAAATATTCACCACTAACTAGAAGCTAAGGACAAAAATATTTTAAGAAAGGTAATGTGTGTACTGCATATGCATTTTCTTAGGCCTAGCTCTATTGCTCACTTAATATATGACAGCGTAAACACATCATCAGGCTTTAATATGTATTTGAAAGCGAAAAAAGGCTGTTTCATTTTACAGCTATTTTTGCTTTACAGCAGTAGCCTGGGACCTAACCTGCTACATAAGCAGGGCCCTCCTGTACAAGGGCAGGGCTAAATTCATGGTGTTCTATCTTCAGTGTGTTAACTGCATTCCAACACTGAAAATTAAACAATCTCCATGACTGCTAATAAGGCAGTGTTCTGCAGCCATACATAATACGAACTCAGATTTAGTTGTAAATAAACAACTGTCGATGAATAAACAGAAGGGTGGATGAAGGGCTCGAACTGCTGTTTATAAATTGACAGTCCGATGCACTACCATCTAGGCCAGGGGTCAGCAACCCCCGGCCGGCGGGCCACATCCAGCCAGTGTGAGATTTTCGTCCAGTCTACCAACTTAACACCTGGACACTAATTATCTAATTAGTATCACATACAGATGCAGTAGTTCACTTCAAGGTTAAGCAGTCCCTGGAAAAATTACTTCATATCCTACATCCTTAGAGGTTTTTCATATGAGTTTGTTGTCAGGTGGTAAAACAACTGTACAGTAGGTATCTGCATTCAATAATAATGTTTATTTAATTATTTGTGGTAAACTGTGTTAAGTATTATTAGAATTATTCCAAAATGGGTTGAAAAAACTAATGGCAACCCTGAGTTCGAGAATTTTTTTTTATATTACATTTAATAACATGGCCCTCCTCCGAGAGACTGCATAGCTGTCTGGCGCCCTCTCTCCAAAGGGTTGCCAACCCCTGGTTTAGGCTAACCCTAGAGACCTGCGTTAGCCTAGATGTTAGAGCATCAGACTATTGATTTACAGACTGCAGTTCAAGCCCCTCATCCACCCTTCAGTTTATACATAATGTAGTTATCCACATTAAGCAATTTCTAACTTACAAGTTTTTGGGCCACATTATTATGCATGTTTGTACAGTATGTATGCACAGTACTGTATGTAGGGAAGTATGAATGTTTTTCCTCTCTTCTGGGTTATCTTACATTGTTGGTAGATGTGTTAAAAAAAAATACTGTGTTATTATTTTATTATTTTTTTTATTATCACACTGGCTGATTCCCACCAAGGCAGGGTAGCCCGAAAAAGAAAAAATTTCACCATCATTCACTCCATCACTGTCTTGCCAGAAGGGTGCTTTACACTACAGTTTTTAAACTGCAACATTAACACCCCTCCTTCAGAGTGCAGGCACTGTACTCCCCATCTCCAGGACTCAAGTCCGGCCTGCCAGTTTCCCTGAACCCCTTCATAAATGTCACTTTGCTCACACTCCAACAGCACGTCAAGTATTAAAAACGATTTGTCTCCATTCACTCCTATCAAACACGCTCACGCATGCCTGCTGGAAGTCCAAGCCCCTTGCATACAAAACCTCCTTTACCCCCTCCCTCCAACCTTTCCTAGGCTGACCCCTACCCCGTCTTCCTTCCACTACAGACTGATACACTCTTGAAGTCACTCTGCTTCGCTCCATTCTCTCTACATGTCTGAACCACCTCAACAACCCTTCCTCAGCCCTCTGGACAACAGTTTTTGTAATCCCGCACCTCCTCCTAACTTCCAAACTACGAATTCTCTGCATTATATTCACACCACACATTGCCCTCAGACATGACATCTCCACTGCCTCCAGCCTTCTCCTTGCTGCAACATTCATCACCCATGCTTCACACCCATATAAGAGCGTTGGTAAAACTATACTCTCATACATTCCCCTCTTTGCCTCCAAGGACAAAGTTCTTTATCTTCACAGACTCCTAAGTGCACCACTCACCCTTTTCCCCTCATCAATTCTATGATTCACCTCATCTTTCATAGACCCATCCGCTGACACGTCCCCTCCCAAATATCTGAATACATTCACCTCCTCCATACTCTCTCCCTCCAATCTGATATCCAATCTTTCATCACCTAATCTTTTTGTTATCCTCATAACCTTACTCTTTCCTGTATTCACTTTAAATTTTCTTCTTTTGCACACCCTACCAAATTCATCCACCAATCTCTACAACTTCTCTTCAGAATCTCCCAAGAGCACAGTGTCATCAGCAAAGAGCAACTGTGACAACTCCCACTTTATGTGTGATTCTTTATCTTTTAACTCCACGCCTCTTGCCAAGACCCTCGCATTTACTTCTCTTACAACCCCAGCTATAAATATATTAAACAACCACGGTGACATCACACATCCTTGTCTAAGGCCTACTTTTACTGGGAAATAATTTCCCTCTTTCCTACATACTCTAACTTGAGCCTTACTATCCTCATAAAAACTCTTCACTGCTTTCAGTAACGTACCTCCTACACCATACACCTGCAACATCTGCCACATTGCCCCCCCTATCCACCCTGTCATACGCCTTTTCCAAATCCATAAATGCCACAAAGACCTCTTTAGCCTTATCTAAATACTGTTCACTTATATGTTTCACTGTAAACACCTGGTCCCCACACCCCCTACCTTTCCTAAAGCCTTCTTGTTCATCTGCTATCCTATTCTCCGTCTTACTCTTAATTCTTTCAATAATAACTCTACCATACACTTTACCAGTATACTCAACAGACTTATCCCCCTATAATTTTTGCACTCTCTTTTGTCCCCTTTGACTTTATACAAAGGAACTATGCATGCTCTCTGCCAATCCCTAGGTACCTTACCCTCTTCCATACATTTATTAAATAATTGCACCAACCACTCCAAAACTATATCCCCACCTGCTTTTAACATTTCTAGCTTTATCCCATCAATCCCGGCTGCCTTACCCCCTTTCATTTTACCTACTGCCTCACGAACTTCCCCCACACTCACAACTGGCTCTTCCTCACTCCTACAAGATGTTATTCCTCCTTGCCCTCTACACGAAATCACAGCTTCCTTATCTTCATCAACATTTAACAATTCCTCAAAATATTCCCTCCATCTTCCCAATACCTCTAACTCTCCATTTAATAACTCTCCTCTCCTATTTTTAACCCTTTGACTGTCGCAACCCCCAATCTTGAGGTGTCTCCTGGAGTCGCAAAAAAAAAAAATTATTTTTTCTTATGAAATGATAGAGAATCTTTTCCCGATTGTAATGACACCAAAAAAAAGCAAATTGATAGAAAACTGATGGAATTATGCTCTCGCGAAGTTAGCGACCTCGGCTCTGTTTACAAATCTGTGATTTCGCCCACTTTGAGCCCTATTTTCGGCTAATTCCATTGTTCCAGTCGCCCAAACTCATAGATATTTCTTTAGAACTCCATTTTTTCTATCGATTGAGTACAAGAAACTGCCCATTTACCGATTTCAACCTAATAATGTGGTCAGAAATTTGCAATTTGGCCAATTTCACAAAAACTAAAAAATATGACAATTTCAAAATAAGGTCCAGAGTGAACAATGCAGACATTCCTGGCTCTAAAATAACATTTTCTTTGCTCATCAGTCATGTCTCCAGGCCCCTCTGATAATACTCTTGCTTTCTATTTTGAATTTTTATTCAAACAAAAAATAGAAGACTTACTATTATGCAGACTACTGCAATACTGTAATAATTGTATAAATAACATCAACCCATTCATAACTGCATATTAGAATGGCTAGTTGGACATTTATTGGACAATGGCATCATTTGTTTACTTTTGAACATTGGCAAAAATCAAACATTTCCCGTATTTTGAGCTCCATTTCTAGGTTTTTTTTATAGTAAAATCAATCAAAATCACCTCTATTTCTATAATATGTTTTCCATTCTATCAAATGAGACCAAGAAAACGAGAATACATCCATAAATACTATACGAAAATAGACCACAAAGTCGGCATTTTAATTAAAAAAAACGGTCGGAGTTTTTTTTTCTCATTATGCACTGCGTGCTCGAGGATTTTTTTTATATGGTGCACACTGACCACACAGACCCATTCTCTCACATGTGGGCCTACCAGCTTTCCCCTGCTTGATTTGAAGCCACTAGAATTTATGAGTATATATACGTCAAACACGGTACCTCGTAAGACGTATATATACGGCCGCGACAGTCAAAGGGTTAACTGACAAATCCATTTGTTCTCTAGGCTTCCTTAACTTATTAATCTCACTCCAAAACTTTTTCTTATTTTCAACAAAATTTGTTGATAACATCTCACCCACTTTCTCATTTGCTCTCTTTTTACATTGCTTCACCACTCTCTTAACCTCTCTCTTTTTCTCCATATACTCTTCCCTCCTTGCATCGCTTCTACTTTGTAAAAACTTCTCATATGCTAACTTTTTCTCCCTTACTACTCTCTTTACATCATCATTCCACCAATCGCTCCTCTTCCCTCCCACACCCACTTTCCTGTAACCACAAACTTCTGCTGAACACTCCAACACTACATTTTTAAACCTACCCCATACCTCTTCGACCTCATTGCCTATGCTCTCATTAGCCCATCTATCCTCCAATAGCTGTTTATATCTTACCCTAACTGCCTCCTCTTTTAGTTTACAAACCTTCACCTCTCTCTTCCCTGATGCTTCTATTCTCCTTGTATCCCATCTACCTTTTACTCTCAGTGTAGCTACAAATGGAAAGTGATCTGATATATATGTGGCCCCTCTATAAACATGTACATCCTGAAGTCTGCTCAACAGTCTTTTATCTACCAATACATAATCCAACAAACTACTGTCATTTCGCCCTACATCGTATCTTGTATACTTATTTATCCTCTTTTTCTTAAAATATGTATTACCTATAACTTAACCCCTTTCTATACAAAGTTCAATCAAAGGGCTCCCATTATCATTTACACCTGGCACCCCAAACTTACCTACCACCCCTACCACAATTACTCTCTCACTTGGTTCAAAGGCTCCTATACATTCACTTAACATCTCCCAAAATCTCTCTCTCTCCTCTACATTCCTCTCTTCTCCAGGTGCATACACACTTATTATGACCCACTTTTCACATCCAACCTATACTTTAATCCACATAATTCTTGAATTTGCACATTCATATTCTCTTTTCTCCTTCCATAAATGATCCTTCAACATTACTGCTACCCCTTCCTTAGCTCTAACTCTCTCAGATACTCCATATTTAATCCCATTTATTTCCCCCCACCGAAACTCCCCTACCCCCTTCAGCTTTGTTTCGCTTAGGGCCAGGACATCCAACTTTTTTTCATTCATAACATCAGCAATCATCTGTTTCTTGTCATCTGCACTACATCCACGCACATTCAAGCATCCCAGTTTTATAAAGTTTTTCTTCTTCTCTTTTTTAGTAAATGTCTACAGGAGAAGGGGTTACTAGCCCATTGCTCCCGGCATTTTAGTCGCCTCATACGACACGCATGGCTTACAGAGGAAAGATTCTTTTCCACTTCCCCATGGACAATAGAAGAAATAAAGAAGAACAAGAGCTATTTAGAAAAAGGAGAAAAACCTAGATGTATGTATATATACATGCATGTGCGTGTCTGTGAAGTGTGACCAAAGTGTAAGTAGGAGTAGCAAGATATCCCTGTTATCTAGCGTGTTTATGAGACAGAAAAAGAAACCAGCAATCCTACCATCATGCAAAACAGTTACAGGTTTCTGTTTCACAGTCATCTGGCAGGACGGTAGTACTTCCCTGGGTGGTTGCTGTCTACCAACCTACTACACTTACATATTTAAATCACGTGTTTTGTGATTGTTTTGCATGCATATACAGACAGACAGAAAGACACAGATGATGCATATGCATGCACACACACTGTGCTTGTGCACACATACAATGTGTGTGTGCACACATACAATGTGTGTGTGCACACATACAATGTGTGTGTGCACACAATGCATGTGTGTACACAAACAATGCATGTGTGTACACAATGCATGCATGCACACACACAATGCATGCATGCACACACAAAATATGCAAAATTAGCAAACCCTAGAACAGACTTCAGGAACTTGATTAAAGAATTCTTCCAAGCCTTATGTATACTAGGCCAATCATTAAGTACATTGCCCTAGTACGAAGCCCACACCAGGTCAAGCATGTGAAGAAAATGGAAAGGGTCCAAAGGTCTGCATCCATGCTAGTACCAAAACTGAGACAAATGCACTATGAGAGATTCCAAGATCTGCACCTTACTACCTCAGAGGAAAGAACAAAGGACAAGGGACAAAATGATCACTATGTACAAAATCTTAAAGAGGAATCAGTAGGGCTGATAGGGGCAGTGTGTTTGAATTAAGAGGACCAGGATCAAGGGGACACTGGTAGAATCTAAAGATAAAGATGAGCTAAAAGGGCAGTGGTAGAGGCAAACTCAACACACAACTTCTAGAATGAATATGAAATATAAAAGAGGCCAGAAGTCAGTAATGCCGATAAAGATGGCCTACAAGGAGGGACCAGGAGCTAAGTATTGGCCCCAAACAAACACAAAGGTGAGTAAACACATACATTTCTAAATACTTTTGGCAAACTATTGTCATTAGCAATGATGATAATTTGGTCAAAAGTACTCAGGGGGACTTTCTGACCATGTTTTTACTGACTTCACCTCTTTCTATGTTTTTATGATTATCTTGCATAAATTGCAGAACAGGTGGGGGCTTTAACAGGTGGCAATCAAGTCTTAAAACTCTCAGACCAGTGTGCCATCCACTGGATCATGCCGGCTTAATAAAAGATTCATTCATTCTGTGATTTGCTTGCTATCGTGTTATTACGTTATCTTTTATACATACATATACAGGGTAGCCCCAAAAATTAAAAGTTGGAAATGTCTGTTTCCATAAATCTGTCTACGTTGTATGTTGAAATTTAAGTACAACAGACTCTCAGATAACATGATGGTTATGTTCCTGAAAACAGATTTCAATGTGAAATCTGTTACATGAATTGAAGAACATATGGGAAACAAGGGTCACATTCTTCCAGTTTCCAAAACAGCCATATGATATTACGTAAAATATTTTTTTCTTATTTTATATTCTGATTTACAGTATTTTTAGTGATTGATATGCATGGAGAGGGTTTATGTCACCCTACTGGGCCTGGAGTTTACCTGGAGAGGGTAACGCCCCCACGGCCCAGTCTGAGACCAGGCCTCATGGTGGAATCAGGGTCTGATCACCCAGACTGTTACTGCTGGCTGCACGCAAGCTGACTTACTAACCACAGCCTGGAAGGTCAGGTACTGATTTTAGGTGTCTGTCTAGTGCCTTCTTGAAGACAGCCAGGGGTCTATTGGTAATCCCCCAGGGTGGATGGCTGTTTTTGTTGGCTGAGGTAGATCAGTGTGATTCTTGAGCTGAGGTGGACGGTTGTGGTTCTTCAACTGAGGTGGATGGTTGTGGTTCCTGAGCTGAGGTGAATGGTTATTAATTTTGGGCTGAGATGGATGACTGCTGTTCTCATGTTGATGTTGATCCAGAGTTGTCAGGTATTCTGTAATGCCTTTCAGCTGTTTTACCATACAGCTTTTTTACAGATACTGTACAATCACCTGCTCCAGGGTGTGCTTCATAACAATGCTTCTAAAGGTGTTAGGGTTCTTTTTGGTGGAAAAAAAGAAGTTTGCAGCTTCACCAGTAGTATGCAGCAGCTTGTGTATCTCCTGAAGTGTCTACTTTGTAGGGTCAGATTCTTCCTCATTCTCTTCAGTTGAACTATGTGAGGTCAGGATCTTCCTTATTCTCTTCAGTTATCTGCCTTCCTTTCATCTGGTAACTGAGCTCCTTCAGTAGTCCTTTCCTTCATCATCTTGTAACTTCATTTATGTCTTCTTCCTGTGTATCTTTAAAGCCCTGACCTACCATCATCCCTGCCAGATTCACATTTTTTTCTGGACCTAACCTTCTATTGAGGAAAAACCTGTAAAATTACTCATGATCAGGATTACTCATTGCACAAGCTCTTACCTTCACCTCATTCTAACTCTATGAATTGTTGCTTCGTTGACATCATAGGCAGCACAAGCTGTTGCCATCACATGTGACCCAGGTTTATGCTAATCTAAAGCCTCCTCAAAATGTTCAAACTTTCATACTTATTTGTCTTAGCACCTTTAATAACAATAGTAGTCCTCCTTGGTGTCATGGTGTATATATCCAGAGACTAGATAGGATGATGAAAAAAAATCCAAACCATTTTAATCACGCATGACTGAGTAAAGTATGGTACATGTCCAAGAGGCAATGGGAGTGTAGGAGTCTGTTTACATCATGAAGTGACAATAGGCCTCCTCCCCTGAAATCAATGGACCTGCCCATGGGCTAACTGTGGCACAGAGGGGAAATACAGGAGGGCCCCTGCATATACAGCACCTTCTTTTCAGTGTTCCATGTTTTCATTGGCTTCAAACTGAGCATTCTTCATTATGTTCCACCCTGTACTGTACCTAACAGCATGTTCTAATGGTATTTGGCATGCTTATGCTTATTTTTTCTCCAATTTCTGACAAACTATATTGGTGTCTTCCAGTCAAATGTGGAGTTGGAAAACAATATTTCATTAGTATTTTATTGAAAACATACTGTGTAGACATGTTATGTGAGTCAACTGTATACATATTAATACACAGATTAGACACAGTTCTAAGGTGCTTATTAGGTGCACCTTTGTACATGTACACATAAAGATGTGTAAATGGTAACTATTTCAACATTGTCTATCTGTAACTAATTGCATGTTGTATATGTAAATTTCAACACATAAGATGGTTAGCCTTATGGAAATAACAGTCATGCACAATTAAGACACTGAAAGAGCTGTTTTATCACTGGTGGCTTTTTCAATCCTTATGAACTGAAAAAATCTACCAGTGGCAAAAATGCCTCCTTCGGTAAATCCAGAGTGTCTTATTCCCACATATGTTAATATCAGAATACTTGTTTAAAATGATCAGCCTTGCTTAAAGACATTCCCAACTTTAAATTTCTTGGGCCACCATCCTAACCTCCAAGCTATGTATATAAGCACAACATATTGAACCTAATCTAATACATATCAAAAGATTTAACTATGTATTCAGTACCTCATTAGGGTCATTGTTTTTAGTCCTGTCTTGGCTTTCCCATTCCTGAGTATTAATTGGTTCTTGCTTTACCTCATTCTTCACACTATGTTCTTCATTACTCATCCTTCGATGATTATGTTTTACTTCTTTGTTCATTTTCCTGTTAATGACTGGGAGCTCTATCTTGGGTTGCTGAATGTTCCTCTTCCAGTCTAGGATAATAAAAAGGTTTACCTCTGATGAAAAGAACATTTCCTTCTTGAAAATCTAATGTGCATGCCAACTCCATTGCATTAGCAGTACAGGTACAGTAAATGTACCGTACATATAGTCCAATATATATAATACGTGTATTTGTTAATGTGATTAGAAACCTTTCACACTGACAAGAATTTATTGTAATCAATGTTTTGCCCAAAATGAACTACAGTAAACTCTTATAAAGCTCCTCTATACGTATAGTGTGATTTTTTGTGAACGCAACTGACAAAGTACATCCAAAATTGAATAGAATGCACAGTGCTGTTAAAATGCACCTCCTTACCTTAATGCAATTCTTGATTGCAATATATTTCAAACAAATCCTTAAAGTTACTCGGTTTCATCTAATTTCATCCCTGTACTTCTTGTTTCAGCTTTTTTCTTTCTGCTCCCATGTACACTGTATAATACACTACAATATTTTCTTCCAGACATAGCTGTTGTATTGATAATTTTACATACTACTGTATAATTTATGTCTTGTTACCCATGTTTGCAGAAATACTGTATATCTCAGTGAACTTATAACAGACTAATTAGAGAAGAAAGTGGCCAATAATAGCAACTGTGGTGAATAGATTTAAGTAACTAATACAACTCACCCTGTTAAAAATAAACAATTATATTATTTATATTGTTATTTTATGAATCAACTTGTACAGTGGAACCTCGGTAATCGAACTTAATTTGTACCAGAAGGCTGTTTGAGTGCCGATCTGTTTGAGTACCGAACAAATTTTTCCAAACCAATTTTCTCTTTTGTTGGCTGTTATCACTAATCTTCTTAGACCCCATAGTGACTTATTTATACAAATAATATAAAAAAATGCAAAGAAACATGAAATAGTTTACGGCAAAGTTCTGGCAGGTCATGTTTGTTTGGTCGAATGCCGAGCAAATGGTCGACTACCGAGCAATTTTTGTATCGAACAAAGCGTTCAAATACCAAATTGTTTGAGTAGGGAGCTGTGCGAGTACCGAGGTTCCATTGTATCTATTAAGTTCTCATTAATACAGTGGACCCCCGCATAATGATCACCTCCGAATGCGACCAATTATGTAAGTGTATTTATGTAAGTGCGTTTGTACGTGTATGTTTGGGGGTCTGAAATGGACTAATCTACTTCACAATATTCCTTATGGGAACAAATTCGGTCAGTACTGGCACCTGAACATACTTCTGGAGTGAAAAAATATCGTTAACCGGGGGTCCACTGTACCATGTAGTAGAAAAAAGTAAACAGTAAATAAAACTATGCAAATTTTATGTACAGTATAGTCTAAATTTTGCCTAAATTGCTGTACATCCTATGGATTTTCAGATTACTGTATGTTTTGTACAGTAATTTTTTAAATAATTTATGTGTGTTTTTGTGGCCTTTCCAAGAGCAATTTGGCTGTACCTCTTTGCTTGCTTTACTTATGTGGTAGGAAGGAACAAAGTGGGAAAGGGTGAATGAGGAGTGTCATAGGGTTAGTAGGGCCTGGCTTTTCATCTTAATTGAGTGCTGAAAGTACAGTAGTAATTTTATGTAAGTTGATGAGTGTTAGATGCCTCTTGCTTCTGTTCTTAACCCTTTGACTGTCGCAACCCTCAATCCTGAGGTGTCTCCTGGTGTCGCAAAATTTAAAAAAAAAAAAATTATTTTTTCTTATGAAATGATAAGAGAATCTTTTCCCGATTGTAATGACACAAAAAAAACGAAATTTGATGGAAAACTGATGGAATTATGCTCTCGCGAAGTTAGCGACCTCGGCACTGTTTACAAATCGGCGATTTTGCCAACTTTGAGCCCTATTTTCGGCTAATTCTATTGTTCCAGTCGCCCAAACGCATAGCTATTTCTTTAGAACTCCATTTTTTCTATCGATTGAGTACAAGAAACTGCCCATTTACCGATTTCAACTACCTAATAATGTGGTCAGAAATTTGCAATTTGGCCAATTTCACGAAAACTAAAAAATATGACAATTTCAAAATAAGGTCCAGAATGAACAATGCAGACATTCCTGGCTCTAAAATAACATTTTCTTTGTTCATCAATCATGTCTCCAGGCCCCTCTGATATTACTCTTGCTTTCTATTTTGAATTTTTATTCAAACAAAAAATAGAAGACTTACTATTATGCAGACTACTGCAATACTGTAATAATTGTATAAATAACATCAGCCCATTCATGACTGCATATTAGAATGGCTAGTTGGACATTTATTGGACAATGGCATCCTTAGTTTACTTTTGAACATTGGCAAAAATCAAACATTTCCCCTACTTTGAGCTCCATTTCTAGGTTCTTTTTATAGTAAAATCAATAAAAATCACCTCTACTTCTATAATATGTTTTTCATCAAATGAGACCAAGAAAACGAGAATACAACCATAAATACTATACGAAAATAGACCACAAAGTCGGCATTTTAATTAAAAAAAAAAAAACGGTCGGAGTTTTTTTTTCTCATTACGCACTGCGTGCTCCAGGATTTTTTTATATGGTGCACACTGACCACACAGACCCATTCTCTCACATGTGGGCCTACCAGCTTTCTCCTGCTTGATTTGAACCCTGCTAAAAATTTATGAGTACAGTGGACCCCGCATAACGTTTAACCTCCGAATGCGACCAATTATGTAAGTGTATTTATGTAAGTGCGTTTGTACGTGTATGTTTGGGGGTCTGAAATGGACTAATCTACTTCACAATATTTCTTATGGGAACAAATTCGGTCAGTACTGGCACCTGAACATACTTCTGGAGTGAAAAAATATCGTTAACCGGGGGTCCACTGTATATATACGTCAAACACAGTACCTCGTAAGACGTATATATACGGCCGCAACAGTCAAAGGGTTAAGTAAAGAAACTATTGCAACTACGTATATTTAACCACTTTATTCTGCAGTGTGAATAAAATACGCTAATACTGTAACGGAAAATGAAAATAAAATACCGCTCCTGTTCAATCAGGAAATGGGTGGGAGTTGCACCCATGGGAAGTGAGAACTATAACTCATGGAATGGGTGAGGCTGAATACACTTTCAATGGGTTAAAGCCTCACCCATTCCGTGATTTGTTTGCAATCACGTTAATATGATTTGGTGAAACCTATGCTGTTATTTTCTTAAATATGGCTTTAATAGCATTAATACTGGAATTTCACAAGAAAACTTGAACTTTAACCCTTAAACTGTCCAAGCAGATCTATGTTCACATGCATAGTGCTCCAAAAGTAGATCTATGTTTTTTTACATATTTTCAAATAAAAAAAAATAGATCAAAGTTTTCTTACACTTTTTCAGACGTAAAAAAAGAAAAGAAGATCTACTTTTTTTACATACATACTTTCAAATGTTGAAAAAACGTAGATCTACATTTGGACAGTTTAAGGGTTAAATGGCATCTTGAGTCCAGGAAATGCACAGAATATTTTTGTAAAGATTCTATGACTGGCTTTGATTTAGTTAAAAAATTAAGTGGCCCATAAGAAATCAAATCACTGAATAAGTATAGGGTTGAAAACATGGCCAGGGGTTAACACACTAGCTTGAGAGTTTTAGGACTTGCCTGCCATGGGTTCAAACCCCAACCGTTCTGTGCTTTGTTGGCAATCGTGTTATTACAATTTCTTGAGTCAAAGTGATCCACTATATGGTAGAATAAATATTTTTTACTTATACATTTGTCCCTCCAAATTCACAGGCTTCTCTATCCTGGGTTTTTACTGACATGCAATTACCTAATAAATTCAATTATGCAATGTTTATTGGAGCTCAGTAGCTTTTCCATGCTCAAATTTCTATTCTCTATTTTGTCCTTCTAAATGTCAATATTAAACAGAATAGTGATATATCACAGATATATGGTCCTTTAAACATACAAAATAACCTTAATTTTGTAACAAAATTTATTGCAACCTAATTATGCATTGCAGTATCTAATTTCATCACGGACTGCTAGAATCTAATTCCATAAATTTGAAGGGACAACTGTATTATTTGCTTGTTTTCAGACTTACCAGTAAACAGATGACATGTAGTATTTTCAGTTGAAGATTCATCTCCAGGAAGTTGCCCATCTACACCACGCTACAAGTAAAAAATTATTAAATAACATTTACTGCTTGGCAGCTGTGCTGCCAACACCTGCTATGCCAGCCAGGAAGTTAATGATTGTGCTCTTGACTGGTTATTAGTTGGTAACACACTCAGTTCACACACTGAGGTCTGTGGTTCGATCCTCTGTACAGGTGGAAACATTGGGGCACGTTTCTTTAAGACACCTGCTGTCCTTGTTCACCTAGCAGTAAGTAGGTCCTGGGTGTTAGTCGACTGGTGTGGTGCTGCATCCTGGGACAAAATTAATCTAATTACCCGAAATGCTCTGCATAACCAGGGGCTTTCTATACAGTATGTCACTGATGTCAGCTATGGTCTGTAAGTTGTATCATGTACTTGTAGAAATAAAGATTAGTATTATTAAAAATATTCACACTGTCTCAATGGATTAAAGTCAGAGTTGCTTCCTATAACAGACATCAGCTGACCTGCTTGCCCATGTAATACACAATATACAATATCATTTACCAAACACAATATACAATATATAAAGCCAAGGAAGAATATATGTATATATGTGCACTCACCTCCCTTTCATCATCAGCATTAAACAGTTCCTCAAACTATTCTCTCCATCTTTCTGTTGCGGATAATAATAATAGTAACGTAATAATCTTTATTTCTACAAGTTACATACATGATACAACTACACAGACCTAGCTGACATCATTGACATACTATATAGAAAGTCCCTAGTTATTCTGAACATTTCAGGCAACTTAGGTTAATTGTCCTCCAGGATGTGACCCACACCAGTTGGCTAACACCCAGGTTACCTACTTACTGCTAGGTGAACAGGGACAGCAGGTGTCTTTAGGGAACATGCCCCAATGTTTCCACCTGTACCAGGAATGACCATATTCATAAATCTGGTTCTTTGGACTGTATGAGATTTCTACACTAACTCTCATACTTTCAAGTATAAAGAATTATAGTGGTCTGGCTAACAATAACTATTTTACGGAATAAATTTTAAAAGTTATTTATTATTATTATTATAATAAAAAAGAAGCGCTAAGCCACAAGGACTATACAGCGCTGCAGGGCAGGAAGGAAGCGAGGGCATCAGGTGGCAAAAGGGAGATGGATGAGTATAGTTTACGGATAACGGGGTAGTGAGGTGAAAGGGGTAAGGGCACAAGAGACTGGAATAGAAAGGCTGGGGGGATGCGAAAAGTTCTCAGAGTTGTGGAGTAAATCAGTCGTTGTCAGAAGTAAATGAGAGAGTCCGGATTAAGGGGGGCCATCAGCAAGAAGGAGGTAGAGAGGGTAGTAAACGAAGAACGCGTTGGGGTAAATTCTGCGTGCCGTGATAGGAGGGGTCTAACAGAATTGGCTAATCGTTTACTGGAACTTGACAGCTCAAAAGAGAGGAACAGGGTGCCTCTCCATAAAAATACCCATGAGTAAGACAGTGTGGCCAAATGCAAGCGGGAGAGTGGTCTCCCACTCAGCACTGATGACAAGAAGACGCCAGAAACCCTATGCTCGGTTTAATAGAATGAAGTTTGTTACCAGAGCAGAGTTGACAACGTTGTTGTCAACGGTCGAATGGTAGCTATTGCACAAAATAGTCCAGAAATGGAACACCTCGATAGGAAATCGTAGGTCATGTATGCTGACCCGCAGCAGTGTTGCCTGTTCATTGCCCGTAGTGACATGACCAGGAACCCAACAAAAAACAATATCTTTATGTTTTGGTAGAATACGTGAGCAAAGTTGAACAGAGAACAGGGATGAATGAAAAAATTTGTATAGCCTTTAGAGCCTAAGGAGTCTGAATACTACAAATGATAAACACAGGCATAGATGCGATACAATAAGTGCTGCAAAATGGCATACAGTCACAGTAAAAATGCTAGCTGAAATAGTAAATGCCCCGCACAAACGCTTCCGGAAACACTGCTGCAAATCCGACGCCGTCTGAAGACTTAGAGCCATCTGTGTAAAACAGCGGGTGGCATGAGAATGGGAGTGGAAGTGATCAAGAAAAAGAGAGCGGGAAGCCACCATAGGCAGTTGAGCTTTCGAGCAAGGGAGCGAGAAAGAACAGACCCGAACAGCGGGAACTTCCCGGGGGGGTAGGGAAAAGTGAGATGCCTACATGAACATAAAAAGGGGGTTTAACTGAAGAGAAGCAAGAGCGAATGTAGGCGAAGAGAAAAGGGACGGAGCAAACAGGGGCGGCGAATGAATAAAGAATGCTACTAATATCGGTGACCATTCTAAAATGGAAGGATTGTGTAGATCGTGAGAGCGTACATAGTAGCGAAGGCAATGGGCATCACGGCGATCAGACAAGGATGGAACATTCGCTTCTGTATAGAGGCTCTCAAAGGGAAGAGAGCGAAAAGCACCAAGGCACAAACGTAATCCTTGGTGATGGATAGAGTTAAGGCTAGAGAGAGTAGCAGGAGAGGCCGCGGAAAAAATTTCTGGTCACCATATTCGAGTTTCAATAAAACGAGGGCTGAATGTAGGCGAAGGAGATTTTCGACGATCAGCTCCCCGGGAAAATGAGCAAGGGTTTTAAGAAGGTTTAGCCAGCTGTGACAAGTTGCCTTCAGAGAGGAATGTGAGGTTTCCAGGATAACCGACGGTCAAAGAAAAGGCCTAGAAACCTGACTGTATCACGTTCGGGGATACGGGCCATAGAGATACAAAGGATGATCGGAGATAACAGAGCGTCTAGTGAAAGTAATTTGGTGAGTTTTTGGTACTTGAAAATTTAAACCCATGCGTGGTGGCCCAAGTGGAAACACGGTCGACCGCATGCTGGAGAGAAACTGCAATAAGGTGACAGTCAGCGCCTGCACAGCAATAGCGAAGTCATCAACATGGGAGTGATGACCAAATATTGGGGGGAAAAGAACAGAGGCCAAATCATTTATAGCAAGGAGAAAAAGTGTTGTGCTTAGAGACACATCCCTGAGGGACACCTTTCACTTGGACGAAGTCCGGGGAAAGAACATTATTGACTCGAACACGGAAATGTCTGTCAGTTAAAAAGTTCTTAAGGAAGGATGGTAGATGCCTCGGAGGCCAAAGGGAAGGGGGCCCGGGCCAAAATATTATACCTCCAAGTTGTGTCATATGCCTTCTCAAGGTCAAAAAATATGGCAATAACTGAGGGGATTATTCGCAAAGGCATTACGAACATACGTATCCAAGCGTAGTAAGGGTCTATGGTAGAACAAACCCTTACGAAAGCCATATTGACTAGCGGAGAGACTGTTGTGTGTGTTCTAAATACCACATTAAACTCGATTTACGAGACGTTCCATCACTTTGCAAACTGCATTAGTAAGAGCGATGGGGCGATAGTGGGAGGCATCATGTCCTGTAGTACCCGGTTTGCGGAAAGGGAGAAAAATGGCAGATTTCCACAGCGGGGGAAGAACTCCTTGTGCCCAAATAAGATTGAAGAGGTGTAAGAGGACTACAAGGGCTGACTGATGTAAATGTTGTAACATACGAATATGAATGTCAAGCCCAGCTGCCGATGATCGGCAAGCTGAGAGCGTTGCCTCCAGTTCTTGAAGTGTAAAAGGCACATTATACTTTCTTCTCTGAGAGAAAAAAAGTCCAAGGGTATAACTCTCTGGCAGACTTTGAGGAAAGAAACGAGGAGCATTGATGGAGCCCTCGGGAAATACGGACCAAATGTGTGCCAAGTTCAATGGCACGTCGAGAGGGTTTTGCTACATCAACCCCAGCAACCCGAAAGAACAGGAGCCGGGTCAGGAGAGTATTTTACCACTAAATTTTCCTCACTTTTTTCCAGACTGCACTCATAAAGAAGCAGAGGTGATGGTGGAAACATAGTCTCGCCAACAAGTGCGTTTAGCTTCACGGATGACACGGCGAGCGATCGCACGCTTCTGTTTAAAAATCAAGAAGTCTCTCAGCGGTTCTATTGTACCGGTCCCTGCCCCATGCAGCACGTTTCAAACGTACTGCACGGCACAAGCAGGAGACCACCAAGGCATGCACTTCTAAGAATGCCTGCCTGAGGTTTTGGGGGTATAGAATGAGAAGCTGCGGTATAAACTGATGTCGAGAAGATGTGTAGGAGCTCATCAATGGAGGATGAAGAAGGAACCTCACTAAAAGCAGTGAGGTGTGAGTAAAGTTTCCCAATTTGCCTGATAAATTGCCAGTGAGGGCTACGGAAAGGTGGTGAATAGGAAGGGAAGCAAGAATGATCGAAAATGATCGCTGTCATGTAAGTCTGGTAGAAACAGACCAGGTGAAGTCTAGTGCAGTGGAGGAAGAGCAGACTGATGATCGATGCAAGAGAGAGTAGAGTACGAGGATCAAAATGGGTGGGGGTACCCGTATTTAAAACATGGAGGGGGTGAGAGGCGAAAAAAAAACCTCTAACTGGATGCCACGTGAGTCACAATGAGACCCCCCCCCCAGAGGAAATGGTGGGCATTAAAATCACCAAGTAACAGAAATGGTGGCGGTAAGGATGAAACAAGAAAGGCAAAAATCTGGGATAGAAAATGCCGAGAAGGAGAGAGATATAAAGAACATATTGTAAACCACTTTTTTCAAGTGGATACGGGCTGCAGTGTAATGCAGCGATGTATGGACAAATAGTTGACAGTACGGAATTATTGCGTAGAAGAAGGGCACTTTCATTAAAGGTCCCCTCTGAGAAAGGATCCGAAGAATACAATAAATTATAGCCTGAGATAGGTTGGAAAACAGCCGAGTGTAATTTTGGGTTTTTGTAAGCAAAGCACCAAAAAGGGAAAACCTGGAAAGCAACATCTGAAGCTCACCCCCATTACCCCTGAGGCCGCGGATATTCCACTGTAAAAAGGCCATGATTGGCGATGAAGAAAATACCAGGAATCCGTAGGTTTAAAAGGGACCTAGGGACTAGAGGGGTTAGAAAAGTCAACGTGTGGTGGCATTGGAAGACGTTCAAGTAGCAAAGGAATGGGAGCATGCGAGAATGGGGGTTTTGAAGATGGAGGAGAGGGAAGAAGGAACAGGAAATGAATCAGTGTCCATTGAAGGTTTAGTCTCTGCAAAAATTCTGAAATGGCTTCAAGTGTTTCTGAATTTAAAGATGTATGGGAGACCCTACTGGAGACCCGGAGGAGGGTGAGTAAAGATTGGGACAGTAATGGACTGTACCAAAATAGAGGGGGAGGGAAGAGTGTAAGGGACTGGAGATGAAGTGTGGGGGGGGACAGAAGAGGCAGAAACCTGGGAGGTGGCAGAAGAGGGATGAAAAAATTTGGGGGGGGACGGGGGTGGAAGGCATAGTACGAGGAGGAGGGTGAATCTCCACACTTGTAATAGAGCCAAGGGGAGGGGAAGAACTAGGTACAGAGACTGGAAAGGTAAAGTGTGGAGGTGGAAGAAAGGGGAAGGAAGGGCAAAAAAAGATTTGAGCAAATGTGGATTTTTTGGACTTCTGGTAGAGGGGTGATTGGATTAGGTGTCGTACGGGTCTTGTCGATACTGGGGCTTGTGAGGAAGGACCGAAGATGTGAGAACAGACTGAGTTTTAGTCGGGACGGTCAGAGCCAAGGACAGCAAAAGGATTAGATGCTGTAGTGGCTATGGGGGGGGTAATAACAGAGAGGCTGCAGAAGATGGGACCCCAGAAAGTGGGGGATGTTTGGAAACATGAGAATAAGAAACACGGGGTAGTCTCCCTTGGAGCGGAGATGAGTAACTGCCATAGCATAAGGAGACCTTCTGCCTCTTTGAGGGAACGGATTTCACTTCATTTAAGTAGACCTGGCAACGGCGGAGTACGAAGGGTGAGCTTCATTACAATTAAGGCAAGATGGAGGTTGACTGCAAGAGTATTAGAATGGTCGTCGGCCCACAGACTGGGCATTCGCCCTAGATCTGCAATATTTCGCTGGGTGACCAAAACGCCAGCAATTTCTACATTTTTGTGGTGTAGGTATCACCTTTTCGAACTTGTAACCGATGTCCCGCGACATATACAGAGGACGGGAGTTCTCGGGGTGTCAAAAGTTAAACGAGCCACATTGCAAGGGTAACGTCTCCGCCCCCCGGGCAGGAAGGACATAAGTGTCTACTTTGAGGGTTGGGAGATCCTGGAGTTCCAGCTGTTCAAAAATGTCATTGCCACATGACTGGAAATTCTGTTGGACTATGGTATGGGGCAGAATGACAGTACCCTACAAGAATTGAGAGAAAGATGTTTTTCAATAGTGATAGGAGTAGTATCGATATTCGAAAGGAGAGAAAGATCATGAGCTTGGGTAGCATTCTGGACAGTGACGATGCGCATTTCCGCTCTTGAGAGCATGAAATGAAAATCCTACCAACATGATGCAGGAGGGCTTTGCAATACTATGGTCAGAAAGGTAGGCAGAAGAAGAAGTCGGTCTTAAAGTAAAGAATTTAGTCCATTGTTGTGGTCCGAAACTGAGCGTGGGGAGGAGTGCTTTACGTGTCGTCTTTTTCCAAGTAGAATGGGAAGGTAACGAAAGAGCATCATCAGGAGATTGACGTTGGTGTTTTTGGAGTAGGACCGGAGTTGGTCCGGTGTGAAATGGGCGGGCGATTCGAAAATTGCCGTACCGTAGAGGGAGAAGCCGGAAGCATAGTCAAAGGAGAGCGTAGTTCAGACAAATCGAAGGAGGGCAGTCGAAGCCCTGGTACCTGAAGTGGGTGAGGAAACAGCACCAGCAAGAGGTACAGGGGCATCAGGAGTGTCCGAAAAGTGGTCTAAACACAAGGCAGGGTCAGAATGGGGTGGGTATCAAGAAGGGGCCCGGGGGTAGTGGGTTCATGGACTAGGGCTGCCATGGTTAGGTTACTCCTTTGCTTTTTGTTTTTAAGAAAAAAAAAAGAAAGAAGAAAAGAAAAATAAAAAAAAGAATAAAAAAAAGGGGGGGGCGGGGAGGAATAGTTCCCAGGAGGAATGAAAAGGGGCCGGAAATCTCCCTCTGCGCCCAAGGGACCTCAGACACCGCTAGTAGAGCAGATGCAGCATGGAAACCCGTGCCCATACCTACCCTTTATGCCCGTAAAACCAGCAATCCGGGATAGCAACCTCACATCTGCCGAGCTACCTCGGTGGACAAAAGAGAGGGCGGGGCCCGGGTATCCGCCACAAAGCATACCCCCTTCGGCCACCACCCCCAGAATCCGAAAGGTGGCTTCCAGAGATACACCCGTCGCCCGAAGACACCCAAAGCCACTCCAGGATACGGAGAGGGATCGGGACATCCCAGGCAATCCAGATTCCACGGCAAACTACGCCACCGCAAGAACCTCAACGGAGGGGATGGACCCCGGTGTTTCCCTTTCCCTACCTTTGGAACTAGCGCGCCTGTGGGAGAAATCCCAAAAAGGCCAAAGAGAGGAAGGGCAAAAGGGAGGGGTGAGGGAGGAGGGGGAATGGAAAAAGGTGGAGGATGGGATAAAGGGGGGGGGAGGGGAGAATGGGGGGTAATTAGGTTCAGTCTGAGGAAGAAGACCGACAGGGCTAATTCCTCAGACCAAGAGCCTCTTCACCACGCCAAGGAGCCCCCCTTGAAGAGGTTTAAAAGTTAAATACTATAAATGTTTAGCATAATTTTCATCCTTCCCATCAAGTTTGGTCCTGCATAAAAGCCACCTACAGCATTAGGTAACTTTTAGGCATACAGTGGAACAGAGGTCTTATGCCTAGTGTAAACATGTTTTTGCCCAATGAGAGTTATATTAATTTGTTTGTTTATATTTTCATGTCTATAATAACGAATTTTATCTGCAAGGTATTCAATGATTTTGACCCATACATATGGGATAATCAATGGTATAAGCCATAGAGCAGAGGAGAGATTATTAAGTAGTTGAGAAAATTAGAGAGGATGGAGCAAAATATGGCTAACAATAGGGTATATAAATCAAGGAAAGAAGGAGTTCATCCCAGGAAACACTGGAAGGAGGAGATAAAGGAGGTTTTGAGTGTTAGGGGCTGAACATCCAGTAGGATTTGTGTGTCAGACAGGTATGAATGGAGACTAGTGATTTTTATGCTTTGACATGCTCTTGGAGTGTTAGAAAATTAACAATCACGAAGTGATTCAGAGAAACTGTTTAGTCACAATTGAGGAGTTGTGTCAAGATGTCTTTCATAGCCACTTCTAGCTTTGGGATGGATGACTCGTCACAGTCCTTAAGTGATGTTTCACAAGTGACCATGAATATTCTATTGAGTTTATGTCTGGGTTATTACCTGGCCTACTGAAATAGGGCACTTCATAATCAGTTAACTTTTTAACAGTTTTAGTGGTGTAGCAAGGAGTACCATCTTGCATAAAGTGTTACTTTGACTTTTTCGAAGAAATATGTAAAATAATCCACAATTCATCATGACAGTTGGGAAATATATTATTAACTGAACACCATAATAAATGAAACATTCTCACACCATAAGGATGCATGCTGTTTCACAGTTTTGGCAGTGTACTGTGAGAGGTGTGGGTCAGAATGAGGTACCCAGTACACCATCCATCCACCACAACCAACCTCTGCAAAAGTTGATTCATAAGTTTATTTAGGTACAGATACACGTAAGTAGAATTATCATATATAGTTTAACATATGTGTAAAGTACCTGGCATAACCCAGAAAAAGTCAGACAAAGTGACTTATTTCCACTCCTCCAAACCCCACTACAGTATGTCTTGCAAAACTTCACTCTCTTCACTTTTTGCCACATCGTGACAAGAGGTTTACCATGGGTACAAAAGCTTTTCAACCATATGTCTTTATGTAGTGACTTCTGAAGACATCTGGGGGACACATGCTCCAAAAACCAAGGATTGTTTTTCAGTTCCCTTGCTGTGATGTAAGGATTTGCCTTACTTGATGAGCAATCACTTTCAGAGTCCCTGGGGAGTTTAATTTAGGCCTACCAGTCTTGGAAAGAGGGACTGGAACATGTCTCCCTGGTCATGAAAATGTTTGGCGAGATGCTGCACTGAATGCAATTTCAGTCCTGTTGAACAGAAATAATGGCCACTCTTATGTAAGGCAATCACAGCCAATATATCCTCCTTATTTGCAGCTCTGGGTATTATTGCTGCTAATAAGAGACGGGTTAGCGACTACACACAGTCACTCTGACTAGGTAATCTACACATGTTAATAGGTATGATAACTGTACCTAAATAGACTTATTTACTTACACAGATGAAAATAACCCAATAAAGCTATGTTAATAAACTGACTGGTTTACTTTCACTGGAGTCCTTCAATCCTCTTCCCCAAGGATACAATCCACACCAGTTAGCTAATACCTAGGTAACTACAGGACAGCAGGTGTAAGGAAACATGTCCATTTCCACAAAAAACACAGCTCATGTATTAGTTTTATTCTCACCTCAGAAATTTGTACTGGTGAAGACTTGTTCCATAAAGTCTGGATTTGCTTGAGTGCTGCATACCAAAATTTCTTTGCAACTTTGTGATCTCCAGGTTGCAGCTGACTTGACAAAGTCACAATCTCATCCAACTGCAATAATTTTGGGGAGGAATATGGTAATAATGAATTACAAAATCAATAAACATTCAAATTATCAGCTAATGAAAGATTTCCTGGGAATTATGTGTCATTCCCATGACCTCAATGAAAAGTCACTGACTTTATTGGGTTATCCTTGGTTAAATTCTAAATAATTTACATACAACTGCATAAGTTTCCAATTATGTATGAGGCATAAATAAACTTCCTTCCTCTAATAATTTAACTCTACCTTAACTTAAAAATACAAAAAATATTATTACACATACTATGTATACACTGGGAAAACCAGAGATTAAAAAAACTTAGACATTTTTTAGAAGTAAAAAGGCGGGGTAATCTCCACATTACTGGTACAATTTTGGGAGCACTAAACTCATAGGGGTCACAGCAATGGAGAAATGCAAGACAATCAAGTTTGATCCAAGGAAAGGGAGCACAATTACAATTCTTTAGATTAGTGTTCCTTACAGGCATTAAGGACCCTTCAAAAGTGGGGGATAATGGGGGGGGGGAGAGTTTTTATTTAGGTCTCCTGTATGATTTGTGAAACTTTAATCATTGAACAGCTCACTCACAATGTCCATGGTTTGATCACCAGCACAGGTGGATTATTATTATAATCAAGGGGGAAGCGCTAAACCCGGAGGATTATACAGCGCCTGGGGGGGGATGTGGAAGGCATTCAGGCTTAATTCGGGGAACTGGAGCACAGATCCAATTCCCTAAATCAAGAGCCCCTCACCAACATCAAGGAACCTTCCTTGAGGGGAGCGGAGGCGCCGAGACACTGGGAATGTTAAGATTTATTTGGGACTTTAACATAGGGGAGGAGTAGCCACCCAAGATAACCCAAGAAAGTCAGTGCATCATTGAGGACTGTGTCATATTACCACTGTGGTCCTTTAATCTTGTCCCCAGGATGCAACCCATAACAGTCAACTAAACCCAGATACCTACTTCTAGGTGAACAGGGACAGCAAGTGTAAGTAAATATGCCCAACGTTTCCACCCATGCAGAAGATCGAACCACTGACACTCAGTCTGTTAGACAAGAGCATTACCAAGCAAGCCACAGGACACCCATGCTGTAAGTAGGTACCTGGGTGTTAGGCGACTGGTGTGGGTCGCATCCCAGGTGACAGGATTAAAGGACCACAATGGAAATAAGACAGACAGTCTTCGATTGATGCACTGGCTTTGAGTTATCCTGGCTAGATAACCCTTCCCAAGGTTAAATATCCAAATTAATTTTAATCTCTTAACATGTCAAGGATAACCCATTATCTCACCTATGGAATTTGTGCATGGGGCTCAACAATAATAAACTATCTCAGACCATTAATCACCCAACAAAAGGCTGCAGTCAGAATGATAAATTCCCACTACAGGCAGCACACTCCACCAATATTCAATACACTAAACCTACTCACAATACAAAACATCCATACTTATTACTGCACCTACTACATACATAGAACACTTAACTCTGACATAAATCCTCCCCTCAAACATCTCCTTACCAACCTCAACAGAACACATGACCATAATACAAGGCACAGATCACTCTTTAATGTTCCTCGTGTCCATCTCACACTATGCAAAAACTCAATGCACATAAAAGGCCCTAAAATCTGGAATTCATTACCTGTGAATATAAAAGAATCACTGTGTTTATAAATTCAAGTCTCTTCTCAAAGATCATTTACTCACTCAAAACCAAATAAATACTGAATAACTGAACCTTATAAATTGTATATCCTATATGTTACTCACAATTATATCACACAAATGTTAAACCTAGGACCCAATCTAACTTTATTTTATCTGTTTACAATAATGTTTTATCACTGATTTCATCATTGCTTAGTTAATCTTAAGTTAATTTTAAGCCAGCCCGTAATGCTATGCATGTAAGTGGCTTTGGCATGCTGCTCTTACCTGTATTTTTTTTGTACCTCTGTATGTATGCTAAAATTTCTAAATAAATAAATAAATAAAGGTCTAAGCACTTGCAGATCTATTATCTCCTCTTCCCTGAATCAAAAGCCTGCAGTATCAAGGCACACCTTACTTGAAGGCTGCACACTACAGTAATTATTATTACAATGAAAACTAAGTGCTAGACCCACAAGGGTCATATAGCACATAAGAAAATTGTGGGCGAGCGGTGTGACGTCACTGGCAGTTTGCCTATAAACCAAGAGTCTGGAGGATGACAGGCAAACATGTTTGATCCAAGGAAGTGGCAGGATTATTATATTTATGGGGGAAATGCTAAAACCACAGGGAAGGCAATCGGATTTGATCCAAGAGAAGGAGAATTTCAATTCTTTTCATCAAGAGCCACTGACCAGCATCACAACCTCCCTTCAGTGGCCAAGTGAAACAATTTAAATTCCCTGATCAAAATTAAAAAAAACCTCAGGCCAAGGGAACCCTTTAAACCC